GACAATCCTATTCACTTGTAGATTTAACAACCACTAATAGGATAATGATTTCCCAATCTATATTACTAGCCATGACCTGTCTCTGAGTGTTCACGTGTTACCGGATATACTCTCTTGAATATCACCACCACATGTCCACAAATTGAATGTAGTAAACATTTGTTTGTTGCCAGCTCAGCATCCATTTCCCCGATCTCCTAATAATATCCTTTTTTTTTTTTTTTTGATAACTACCTTTTCCCACATAGCCTATCATAGCCTATGAGCTAGGAGGAAGATACACACTATCAGTCAGGATCCAGGCAGGAAATGGAAGGCACAATCAGTTGAGATTGTGAAAAGTGTATGGGCCACTTTTCTTTCTTCTTTTCTTTTCTTTTCTTTTTTTCAAGACAGGGTCTCACTCTATTGCCCAGGCTACAGTGCAGTGGCGAGATCTCAGTTCATTGCAACCTCTGCCTCCCAGGTTCAAGTGATCCCCCACCTCAGCCTCCCAAATAGCTGAGACCACAGGTGTGTGCCACCACACCTGGCTAATTTTTTGTATTTTTGGTAGAGACAGGGTTTTGCCATGGTTACCTGGGCTGGACTCAAACTCCTGAGCTTAGGCAATCCTCCAACCTCAACCTCCCAAAGTGTTGGGATTACAGGCATGAGCCACCATGCTCAGCCTAGGTCACTTTTCGAAGGGACTTTTCACAAGGTTAAGGAAGCTGACAACAGCACAAAGCCTTTACCATCCCCAAGTCTGAAGGGCAAAGGGAGGAAATGGTGTTACTAGATCCTGGTAAGAGTGGGAGCTGTGGGCTACCTGACAGTGGCTGTTGTTAGAGGGATACAGGCACTACGGATCATGGCACCAAGAGAGGGAGGGAGCAGGAAATACATACCCTGATCTTCTCTCTCCTGCCCTCCAATCTCCTGCCAAAGCCTCCCGTTGGCCAAATCTAACTGGAAACCAGAGGAAGAGAGCCTGAATGATGTACTCTATACAGTCAGCTTTCCAAAGAGTAGAGTAGAGCAGAGAACGAGTCTAGTGGGAGGGGAGAAAACTAAAAGTAAACAGCAACTGACTTTACTGCCAGCTGAGGCTGACTCGGATTTACCTAAACCAATCATTACATCTAGTGGTGTACTGGTAAACAGCAAAAGATTTTTACAAAAAATAAAAAGCCCCAGATACATAGGGTTGGACAATTTCTGTGGTGCAAACACTCCTATCATGGTCAATTTCAAGCTACACATGTTAAGTCCCTAATGCTGATATAGGAAGAGATGTATTAATATTTAATTGGCTCTCAAGAGCCAATTAAGTATTAATACACCCCAATCATATCCTCCCAATCACAAAGATAGGTTTTGGGTCAATATGTGATCTAAGTTAATCCAATCAAAGCGAGTTTCAGAAAACCTGCTTTAAAAGTTATTTAATGCCCTCCACCCCACGCCTGCCTTGTTTATTTTTTGTTTTTTTGAGATGGGGTCTCGCTATGTTGCCCAGGCTGATCTTGAATTCCTGGGCTCAAGTGATCCTCCCATCTTGGCCTCGCAAAGTGCCGAGATTATAGTCAAGAGCCACCATGCCCAGTCCTCCATGCCTTGTTTATGCTCCTCTCTACGTCTAAAATTTTCTTCACTCCCTATCTCTAACAAACTTATTCCTCTTTCAAGATTTAACTTCACCTCCAGGAAACCTTTCCTTTATTCTCATGCCAGATCAAAGCATCTCTTCTCCATCCTCATGGTTTCTAATGCATTTATCTCTTAGTATCAGACTCCAAAATCATCTATTGACTTATGTCTTCTCCAGTAGATCCTGAGCCCATCAAAACAGAGCCTAGCGTACTGTGGATGTCTAGTAACATTTATTCAACTAGACCAAACCAACAACGGTTTCCCTTTTTTTTTTTTTTGAGACAGAGTCTCACTCTGTCACCCAGGCTGGAGTGCAGTGGCGTGATCTCAGCTCACTGCATCCATGGATGAACTAAACTACTCTATACTGTTAGACATCAGGGTGTTGACTCCTTTTTGGGGAGAAAGGATAATGACGGGAAAGAAGTACAAAAGAAGGCTTTTGGAATGTGAGAAACATTCTATATATCCTGATTTGGGTGCTAGTTACCCATGTGTGTTCAGTTTCTGAAAATTCATTGAGCTGTATACACTTATGACATGTGTACTTTTCTCTACATATATTATACTGAAATTAAAAAATGATTTAAAACCAATGGATGTAAGATAGTTTGTCTCTTCCACTCATAAAAAAAAAAAATACCAATTCCACATTAATTCACTCAGAAATGTCCATCCCAGGCCTAATGCCCTTATCTCTTCATCTGAGCAGAAAAGCATTCTTGCCAGGTAAAAACAGCCAACTATAGAAATATTCATAATAATTAACAAAAACTGTTTGGGGGAAAAACAAGAAAATCATATTTTAACATAAGTAATTTTACACATGAAAGAATTAAACATGTCAATAAAGCCCCCAATCTTGTAAAATATTTTCTAAATATTTTCTAAAATATAAATCTACTGATATTTTATTCATATTGCACACTTAAGTAAAAAAGAGAAAAGTTTAAGAACCCTAGGTCCCCTAGTCTACCATTTCTAAATACTTAGATAACTGATATAGCAGGACCAGACTTATAACTTAAGGTGAATTCAAATAATCTAATAATTTAAGTGGCCTTATCTTTGAAAACAAAAGGCAAATAAACACTGACATGAAACCAAACTCTACCACATAAGATTTAAAAGACCAAACAAATGGATGAACCTTGAAAACATGCAAAGTGAAAAAAGCCAGTCACCAAAAGCACACATTGTGTAATTCCATTTAGTTTATTTATTTATTTTTTTTTTAAGGCAGGGTCTCACTCCATCACTCATGCTGGAGTACAATGGTGCAATCCCAGATCACTGCAACCCCCCGCCTCCCAGGTTCAAGTGATTCTTCTGCCTCAGCCTCCCAAGAATCTGGGATAACAGGGGCATGCCACCACACTCAGCTAATTTTTTTTGTGTGTGTGGTAGAGACGGGGTTTTACTATGTTGGCCAGGCTGGTCTCAAACTTCTGACCTCAAATGATGCACGCACCTTGGCCTCCCAAAGTGCTGGGATTACAGATATTATTCTATTTATATAAAATGTCTAGAATAGGCAAATCAATAGATACAAAAAAATAGACTGGTGGTTGCCAGGGGCAAACAGAAATGGGGAATGAGATGTGATTGTTAATGGGTATCAGGTTTCTCTTTGGGGTGATGAAAATGTTCTAAAATTGATCGTGGTAATGATTGCATAACTGTGAATACACTAAAAACCATTCAATTATGCCCCTTAAGAGAGTAAATTGTATGGCATGTGAATAATATGATAAACCAGTTGTTTCTTTTTTGTTTTTGTTTTTTGAGACGGAGTTTCGCTCTTGTCACCCAGGGTAGAGCGCAATGGTGAGATCTCAGCTCACTGCAACCTCTGCCTCCTGGGTTCAAGCGATTCTCCTGTCTCGGCCTCCTGAGTAGCTGGGATGATAGGCGCCCGCCACCACGCCTAGCTAATTTTTTTGTATTTTTTAGTAGAGACGGAGTTTCACCATGTTGGTCAGGCTGGTCTTGAACTCCTGACATCAGGTGATCCAGCTGCCTCAGTCTCCCAAAGTGCTGGGATTACAGGCAAGAGCTACACACCCTACCACCAGTTATTTTTTAAAAGGCAAAATATCTATTCCACAAGTACACAGAGATCGTAAAATCAACTTTTAATGTTTCATTGAATTATATCATCTGCTGGACTTGACACATGCTCTTCAAAGCAAAATGACATTAGATTTAAGAAAACACCATTTCCAGATTTTTTTTCTCAATAAGACAATATTTGAGTATGTCGTGTGTGTGTGTGAAAGAGAGAGAGAGTGGACTGGGTGTATCAGGAGTGACACTAGGCCAGCCTAAATACCATATGGCAAAGTAATTTAGCTAAAAAACTGGAGACTTATGATGACACAGGCAGCTGGGAGGGATCACGAGGTGTGCTGGCAACATGAATATTAGTCACCAGTTAAAATAAAAACTTTCCAGCCTTATCTGCTAAGATTTAGGACACCTGAAGTCTTTACATTAAAGTATTTATATTTATATAATATTAAATATCTCTTTCAGAAATCCCCATTACCCTCAAGGAAATTTTATAAAGCTAGCAATTCACTCTAATGCTAGATATACTAATATTTTATTTCCCAGGAAGACACACATACATAAAATCCAGGAAATTAAAATGAAGTACATTAAAATGAAGGTAATTAGGTTGAACTGAAATTTATGCAATTTGAAAATTATATGAAAGCAAAACTCACCTAAATTTTAAGATGTGAATGTCAAGTGTGAATACCCTACTTCTGATACTACTTAATAGATTAAATTTTAACAGAATTAAATGCTCTTTCTTGTATTAAAAAAGTTATTAAAATGCTAAAGTAGTTGATTTTCTATAATGAATCACATCACATCTCTTCTGTGACTAACAAATATTTCATTTTACAGACCACAATAATCACCTACAAAAAATAAAATTACCAACTGTCATGATTTTGTTTCCCAAAACTACTGGGACAAACTACTGAATGCTAGAACTGTCATTTTTCTAATCAGGGTATACAGCGCCCAAACCACAGCAGTCAACCTCATCACAAAATAACACCCAGTGCTCCCAAAGCCAGAGCGCTTTTGTGGTTCCATCAAGTATGCCATCACCAAACTACAATGACAGGTCACGCAAGGTGGAAAGCTCCCAAGGCTCAGAAAAGGACTGACAAAATACCAACTATCCGCAACGGTGTGGTGATGACATCGTCCCAACGTCCCGCTCCCTCCTTCCCTCCCAGAGCTATGCGGGGGCTTTTCGGAGACCCTCCCCACCCGGAACCGGAAAGGCGACCATCTTCCCTAACCCCCCAAGCCGGAAGTGGAGCGTAGCCAGCCGGAGCACTCACCCTGGAAGAACAGGACGCCGAGCAGAGGGAAGACAGCGCAGCCACGGCCTCCAGCTACTCCGCTCTGCTGCATCCCGGCAGCTCTCCAGATGCTTGCACACCTTGTTTACAGCTCCCAGTAACGACACAGGTAACGCCGGAAGTGACGTCAGGGCAGGGGGCCGAGAGACAACTTAAAGGGCGATCCGGAGTTACCATAGGAACCTGGCTTCTTTCCAGAACCACACCTGGTTTCACTGACCAGCGATTCATTAACTTTCAGGCGGGAGCTAATTTTTCTATTTTGCTTGAAAATGAAGTAGGCTACAGACTTTAAATATTTACAAGTTTGTTGTTGTGGAATTCTGCAGAACTAAATAATTTTGATGCTCAGCATATCAGACATCGTTTTTTACGTCTCGAGATTTAGTTGAAGGTTCTCAGAATACGCTCCCGTAAATTTAGAGTTCAGAAACACCTGGGAGATCATACAGCATAGATAAATATATATTAGGCGCTGGTAGTGATATGTGCCACAAGCCTCATTGGTTGTTGTCCTTTTTAGGGTAACTATCACAGCATCCAAAATTGGGGGTTTATTAAATTACTTTTGGCAGTGGCAATGATGATCAAATCATTATAGCCTGTATTAGAGGAAAAGGAGAACTGGGATTTGTGTGTCTGTGGTTGGAAAAGTAAGAAAGTTATGTTATCACAGTACTTGAAGTGAGGTGGCGTCACATACTTCTGAAAAAGAGATGGTACAATAAGTACACTGCTGTAATAATCAGTAAGCCTCTTCCCTGGAAATAGCCACGTGTCAATGAAAGCAGGAGAATAAAAGTATGCTTTCGCTTTGGGAAAGAATAAGTTTCCATTTTTCAATTTCCATTCCTTTACTAGACTTGAAAGCCAGTAGTTTTCCCTATTAAAAATGTAATGCAAAGTACTAAATATAATCTTTGATACTTTTCTTTGAAAGAACGCTCAAACTAAATAGTGTTGTTATGCCCAATTCCCAGCTATCCAAAGCAATGTGAAAATTCTGTGGAAATCCGTATACTTCTGTTTACCCATTAGAAACTAATGTATCCATTATTGACTTGCAGGTTGTCTCTACTAAGAAAACTTTTCAGTAAAGATAAAATATATATCCATCTGTTTTCCCTGCAGTGTAGAACTTTTAGATATGTATATACACAAATTATATAATTGATAATTCTTTATTACTAAAGGTTTATTTACATAGTGTTTAAGGCATAATAAAAAATAAATTACAATACAAAAGTGCTCTTTAGGAAGGAGACACTAAACAATAGGCCCATATTACCCCTTGACTATTTAGCCAAGACATAAGCTGCAAATTTTGCTGAAAAAACTGTCCATACATTTTTAACTACTTCTTCATTATTCTTATGGACCATCATCTAGGACATCTGTTTGAAGAAATATCCAGTTATAATATTTTCAAAGGTTAGAATTGTGAAGAAAAAATATAAAATGTGATTAAAGGATATATAGCCTTCAGATGTAATTTACAGTTTTAAAATTGCACATTAAAACTTTGCTTTTTTAGACAGTATAAAAGGCAGAATGAAACAGATATGTAATGAATTTCAGAATTGAGGTTCATATGTAGATCAAACAATTTTTTAAAAAATAGTATTGGAAAAATATCAAGGTCCATACATTTAAATACAGATAATATTTGAAAATTCCAGTTTGTTAAAAGAAATAACATCTGCAGCCCAGTCAATTAAAAACTGAAAATATCAGTCTGTAAACATTGATCTTGAGCCTAAACTTTTAGATGTTTTCTATCCTTTGAACAAATACTTCTGTATCTGAGGCTTGGAAAAGACACGGGGAAACTAAACACTTTTAAAAGGCACTTTTCTTTCAATAGCCCACTTATAAAGTTTGCTTTATCTACCAGTATAGGGGAAAGAAAGAATAAAATTTTTTTTTTTTCCATTTAAAGTAGTTTTGGTATTTCTGTGCTCCATATCAAAGCCTTCCTCCCCCAAAATAAACAAGTGAATTAGAATTTTTTTAAAAAGTTAACAATTTCTTCCAGTTCTCAGAGTTTTATATAAAACTGTACAAAATTATCATCATTTAGAGTTGATTTTTTTCACCAGCCCTGAATTTTCAAACTTGTAATATACTGTTTCACGATATTTTTATTAAACTGCTTAATGATTCCAGTCTGCAAAAGAGCATAGGCTTTGCTCTGTTATTATAGATCATTGAACTGGGGGGCAACATAGTAAGCTAAACAGTCTGTCACTGCTCATGAAAGACCCGCATTGTTGATTATTTTTCCCAGCACAGAAGAAAAGTGACAGGTGATTCATCCTGCAATGGCATCTACCAGTCTTTTCATATCTATGCAACCTTTTGTAGTTACTGTGTGATTTAGCGTTGTGCTTTTGTAAATCTTAGATTAATTAACAAAACAACAACAAAAATCTATCACCTGGAATATTGAAAGAAATTCATTGAAACAAGATGTGTCTCCTAGTTAAGGAGAGACATAAAAATCAAAATGTCATTTAACAGTTTGAATTTACGATTTACTGTTAGTCAAAAACACCGAGGAGGCTTTGCTCACCTTTTAATTGAGAATATGGGAAGGAAAGAGAGTAAACACATTAACTGTAGTAGCAGAAGTGCTGCTAAAAGAAATAAATGAAAGGAAATATAATAGACAAATTGGCTTTTATCCCCTTTGATACCAATATATGTGTATACAAGTCATAACACTGTAAGTAGTGTCTTAAGGGCAAAAATGTAGCTTCTTGTTTATAAAACCTAATGAGCACTTGAAAACATTTACACTCTGAAATTAAATAAGACCTTAATAATGAGGCTGTGTATGACTGGTGATATGGAAGAGCACTGTGCTGGCTCCAGAGGGATGTTGCTTGTATATGCGGTAGAACTGGTTGGAAAACAGGTCACAACTGGAAAAGCCAAAGAAAAGTTTCCATTAACTTCAACAAATACTAGGGTTCTTGTTCTTGGAAATCATCAGCTTCCTAAAACACAAAACAAAAGTTTAAGTGGATAACATATTTGAGAAGAGTGCAATAGGAATACTTGGCGTTATGAATTACATATATGTTATTAGAAAGAAAATATTCTGAGGGAAAATATTCATATTCTCCCCCAATTTAATTTTTAAAAGAAGTTTCCTAATCCTTATTACATAATTTTCAGAGTTAGTATCCTTAAATCATAGCCTCTAAGTACCTTGCATGGACACTTGGATGACCCACAACTTGCTCACACACATACATTCCATATTCTCCCCACTTCTCACTCTCATTACAAACAAAATCAGACATACAGAAAAGTAGAGAAGAGAGTGTGTGGAATTTACCCATCCCTTAAATTCATTAATTCATTCTTTTCTTTTCTTACCTCATCTGCCCCATCACCTAATTCTGAAGCCTTTTTTGTTTTATTTGCTTTTTTCCTGTGCTTTTAAAGCAAATTGCTGACATTTACGCCTAAATACTCCAGTAAGCATTTTTCAAAATAGGTACATTTTCTGTATAACTACAATACCATCACTATACTTAATACAAATTAAAAATAATTCCCTAATATTATCCATATATTTAACATTTTCATATTCAAGACTTTCCCAGTTGTCCCTCTAAGCCTTTTTTTTTACAACAAGCTTGTTCACGCTATTATTCATTCAGTTGGGGATCACACATTGTGCTTTGATTGTGTTCATCTCTTAAGTTTCTTTTGATCTAAAACATCTCCCATATTTATTTTCCATGACCCCAACTTGTTAGATAATCCCCTTAATTTTAAAAAGACAATAACCATTGGTTGGTAAAAACTCCCTAATGTTAATTTTGGTTTTCTGATTTTACAATATGATCATTTTTCTCCATATTTTATTTTATAAATCTTTGAGGTCTTTCACTGGAGCTTTAGCCTATAAAAATGTGACCCTCTTTGCAACTAATAATGGTGTATAAAAATTTTCTCCCATGTAAGAGAGCCAGAGTTTTACAGGATAAAGTCATTAATATCAAGAACTTTCTTATGAGTGTAAAATTTGTTTGCATGTCTGGATTTATAACATCTAGAAATTAAATGTGTGGACCTATTTCAGAGAATGGGAGAAATTCTGAGCATATGAAAAATAAATTGGCCGGGTGCAGTGGCTCACGCCTGTAATCCCAACACTTTGGGAGGCTGAGGCAGGTGGATCGCTTGAGCTCAAGTGAGACCAGCCTAGGCAACATAGCGAAACCCCATCTCTACAAAAAGTACAAAAATTAGCTGGGTGTAGTGGCCCGCACCCATGGTCCCAGCTACTTTGGAAGCTAAGGTGGGAGGATCACTTGAGCCTGGGAGGGGGAAGTTGCAGTGACCTGAGATCGCACCACTACACTCCAGCCTGGGCAACAGATTGAGACCCTGTCTGAAAAACAAAGAAAAGAAAAATAAATTATCCTACTTTTTAAGTCCGATGAACCTGAAAACTGGAAAAATAAAATTATACACCACTAAAACTGGATTCATTTCATGTAGTTATTAGTGCCAATAACTAAATGAGAAGAGTTGAAATCAATTCCAAATAGTACAAAAGCTCTCCTGTAAAAACTGCCAGATACATCTATTGAGTCACTCTCTTAATACCATAATTGGTTTACAATTAAAAAAAAAAAAACAGAATAAGCAGATACTAATCTTTTGATTTAAAAAAGATTTATTTACTTGTTGAATATTTATTGGTAGTAGTAGTAATAAATATAACCCCGAAGCCACAAATAACCTTAGAATTCTCTCAGCTTTAATGGCAGTAGAGTCCAGCTTCTTAATCTTTTGCACAAAATACACTCGAAGGAGGAGCTATCCATAAGACTAATAGAAGACTTTTGTCTCCCTGACCCAGCTCCTCTAATTTCATATGGGAGACACCTAACAGCCATAAAGTGATCTGGGAGTCCTCATTAGAGATGGGCTGGACACGTCAGAAAGCTGAGGAAAGAAATCAACCTATTTGTGAACCTTACCGTCTAAAAATGTTAGTCTATGTCTTCTAAATAAACAGAGACCTTTTTCTCTTGGTTGAGCCTTTCCTCTTCTTTTCTGTAACAAAGAAGCGGAAACCGAATGTCAGGTGAACAAGACAAGAAGCAAGTAGGCAAATCCCACAGAAGCTTCAAGTAAAGTATTTTCCCCCCATATTTTTGGAAGAATTACATGCACTTGGGAGTCAATTGAAGTTTACACAGAGCTAAACTGGTGCCATCTAATTAATAATGGTCACACCTCTGAACTTAGAGACTTTTCAGAATGTAAAGGATACAGTTTGGATTCTGATTCGGGAACTCCAGAGTTTTAAAGCAGACACCTTATTTTACCATGAGTATCCCACCTCTAATTTATATTTGTTATTCAAAAAAAAAAAAAAAAGTTTTGTGTTGACCTAAGTCATCTTGATTGATTCTATTCAAACTAGAACCTCAGAGTTGAGTTTGTTTAGGCTTCTTAAAATCAGTTCTGTTTGGTCGGGCATGGTGGCTCATGCCTGTAATCCCAACACTTTGGAAGGCCGAGGCAGGCAGATCATTTGAGATCAGGAGTTCAAGACCAGCCTGACGAACATGGTGAAACCCCATCTCTACTAAAAATACAAAAGTAGCTGGGCATGGTGGTGCATGCCTGTAATCCCAGCTACTTGGGAGGCTGAGGCAAGAGAATCGCTTGAATGCAGGAGGCGGAGGTTGCAGTGAGCCAAAATCATGCCATTGCACTCCAGCCTGGGCAACCAGAGCGAAACTCTGACTCAAAAAAAAAAAAAAAAATTAGGTCTGTTTATTTCAGTAATTACTTATTAAGGAAATGAAATAAATGTTGCTGGAACAACTAGATATCCACATGCAAAAAAGTGAATTTGCACTTCTGTCTCAGCAATATACAAAAGCGAACTCAAAACTCAAAAGATCTAAATGTAAAAATTAAGACTATAAAACTCTTAGAAGAAAACATAGCCATAGATCTTCATGGTCTTGGGGATTAGGCAATGATTTTTTAGATGAGACTCAAAAGCATTAGCAGCAAAAGAGAAAAAATAGATAAATTGGACTTCACAAAATTTAATTTTTGTTCTTCAAAGGACACTATACTTCACTTCAAAGGACACTCACTTTAATAGTGAGTGAGTTCTCACAAAACCTGGTCCTATAAAACTATGTGGCACCTCCCCCAACTCTCTCACTTTCTCCTGCTCTCACCATGTGAAATGCCTGCTCCCATTGTGCCTTCTGCCATCGGTAAAAGCTCCCTGAGGCCTCCCCGGGAGCCAACCAACGTTGGCACCATGCTTCTACATCCTACAGAACCGTGAGCCAATTAAATCTCCTCTTTATAAATTACCCAGTCTTAGGTTTGTTTGTTTGTTTGTTTTATAGCAACGCAAGAACGGCCTAATACATGGTTATGATAAAAAAAAAAAAGACAATAATGAGTGTTGAGGAGGATGTGGAGAAATCAGAACCCTCATATATTGCTGATAGGAATGCAAAATAGTCCAGCTGTTTAGAGACAGTCTGGCAATTCCTCCAAAAACTAGACAGAGTTACCATATGACCCAACAATTCCACTTTTAGGAGAATTAAAAACATATGATCTACACAAAAGCTTGTAAATGAATGTTTATAGCAGCGTTAGTCACAATAGCCAACAAGTAGAGAAAACCTAAATGCCCATCAATTGAATGGACAAACAATATATTCATACAATGGAATATTATGCAGTCATAAAACGGAAAAAAATACTAATACATACTACAACAAGGATGAGCCTTGAAAGCATTATGCTAAGTGAAAGAAGCTGGGCATAAAAGGCCACATATTGTATGATTCTATTTAAATGAAATGTCCAGAATAAGTAAATCCATAGAGACAGAAAGTAGATGAGTAGTTGTCAGGGGCTGGTGGGAGGGGATAATAGGGAGTGATAGCTAGGGATATGTGGTTTCTTTAGGGGAGGAAGCTTAAAAAGGTTCTGCAATTAGTGATGATTGCTGCACAACTTTGTGAACATGAAAAGAGTGAATTTTATGGTAGGTAAATTTTATCTCAATTTTAAAATACGTTTAATGAACACCTGCTATCAGCACAACAGACTTTCCTAGGCACTGACTCAGAGTGGCCCTGCTGACTGCCTAGCCCAGTGGGTTTTACAAATGTATGCTTCACTTTAAACATAAGGGATTTTTAAGAAAAGCTTTACATACCAGATTTTTATAAAATCAACCCCCCCCCGCCATAGTAAAGAAATCATATAAGGAAATATTTTGTAAAGTTACTAGTTCATACCTAATTTATCTGTCCTGCAAATGTGAATTCTTTTATGTAGGATTTACTTAAAGGGAAAAACATCTGTTCAGCAACTGTTTAGCCCATTGCAAAATACCAAGAGTCCCCATTAGAGTGTTAGAACTTTCCCAGAACTGCCCAGCCTTACGATTTTATCTCCACCACTTTATGAGCTCTTTCAGCCCATCGCTTTTTCCGGTAATGCTGGAAGAGGACCACTACAATTACTATTATGATCATCAGTGCACAGGCAGAGCCAATGGCCAGAGCCAGGAAGTGGATCTCAGAGAAGCGTACTGTAAGGAGAAAAAGATTAAGTTAGGATTCTAAAAAGAAGAGGACTACAATGAAATCTGATGACATAATAGGGATGCGTTTAATCAATAGATGGAATCTTCCTTTCTCCTATCTTTATGCATAAAATACTATATTACCTTGTAAATCCTACTAGCAATAGGAAAACCATACACATACTTTAGTGGTTCTCAAAGTGTGGTCTTCGAAGTAACAGCAACAATATCACTTGAGAACATGGAACTCTTAGGCCCCACCCCAGACCTGCTGAATTAGAAACACTAGGGGTGGGGCTGAGCAATCTGTTTTAACATGTCCTCCAGGTGATTCTGATGCAGCTTTGAAAACCACTGGGTGGGTTGAACTACCTATGGGGTAAGGTTTTTGCTAACCTCATCAAACCTAGTGCCCAACTCATTTCTCCCTGACTTCTCACCACTTTCACTCAGTCAGTCATTTATTCAGATTTATTGAGGGCCTGCTATGTTCCTGGCACTGTGATAGAAATGCAGAGCCAAAAAAGACATCACCTTCAAGGAGCTGATGCCACTGAGAGGATAGGAAAGTTAATCAGAAGCTACAGTCTAGTGGATAAATAATGGAAAAGGGAAACCAGAGGGAAGGTCCCCTAAGCCACACTAGAGTCTGTGAACCCTGGTTCTCTTGTCCTTTAGCTTGATTGCTGATTATACTTCCATAAGCCCTCAGAGCCAGAAAGGACATTAGAGAATGTCTAGCCCAGGGTTCCCAGCCTTGACTCCGTGAAGGAGGGTGGGGAAAAAGGATGGAAGGTAGTCTGCAAGCCCACAGAATCCATTGTGTATGTCTCCATTGTTTAATGGGAAGCAGGGCCATGGCTTTCATTTGATTCTCAGAGAATAATTACCCACATATGTTAAGAACCACTGATTTTTTGTTTGTTTAACCTGTTCATTTTGCAGGTGAAGAAACTGAAGCCCCCAAACCATTACATTATTTCTTTCAATACTCAAATGACTTCTGCAAGGTCACACAGTCCTCTATTGGTGGGGCGTTGAGAAATGGTTTCAAACTGTACTATGAATGAAAGGAAATCATACCGCTTCTCAGGCTTATATGTTTGGAGTAGTGTTGGTTAAGAGCACACACCAGAGAACACTAGGTTGAAATACCTAGCTGTGTGATTTGAAGTAATTAACTTCTTTGAGCCTCAGTTTCCTCATGTATAAAATAGAGATAACAATATTCATCTGTTGAGTTCTTAATAAAAAATAAAATAATTCATGTAAGTTGTTCCATGCTGTGCCTGTACAAAATAAACACTCAGTGTATGGTAGCTATTAAGTACAATTCAGAGGTTGGGACATATTCACATTTATTATCTCATTTTATCCTCATCATGATCCTCACTGTGTTATTCTCACTTTACAGATGAGGAAAATAAGACTTATTGATAGCTGGTAAATGGTAGCAATGACTCAAACCCAGATCTACAACTTGTAAGTTTCGTGTACTTTGCTCTTTGTTGCTTGGCATGGTTTTCCAGATTGTCCTTTATAGGGATACAGACAATACAATGCACCAGTTTAGAACACAGTTTTAGATTCAGAGTTGATTGGGTTTGAGTCCTAAGTTACTCCATTTATCAGCTACATGACTCAGGGCAAGTAACTTAACCTCTGTGAGCCTCGTTTCCTCGTTGGCAAGATGGGAGGCATTAAATGCACAATAAACTGATGAGATATGTAAAGATTAAATAAAATGTGTCACGTAAAGCCCCTGACATTTGGGAAGTACTCAGTAAGTGTTAGCTACCATTATTAGTACCTGCCTCCTAGAGTGGTGTGGGGGTTCAATGAGATAGTGTATGTCATGCACTTTTGACAGTGCCTAGCATTGGAGTAGGTACTCAGTAAGTGTCTCGAATAAATGAGCGAGTGAACAGACCTGTTGTAAGCCTTTTATCAAAGAATTGCTCCCTCTCCCTTTCACAATTTCAATGCCATTTTTGTAACAGATTCTCTGAGTTCCTTTGCTTTACTTTCTGTTTCTTTCCACGGCCAAACAAAGCCTTTCTCTTTTTACCCCAGAACTCTTCAGTCTCCCTCTGAGGCTCCCAGTTCTGAAGGGCTAGTCCCTCTCTCTATCCATCAAAAAAGATTGTCCCTCTCTCTCAGCCTTAACAATGATTGCCCCTTTCTTTTCTACAAGCTCTCATCCTTTCCAAAACCACTGTTCCCTGAATAACCTACCAGTGTGCACGACGCTGAGCCGGATCTCCCCTATCACCCCATCAACATCAGGTGGGTTCTTCACCTGGCAGGTGTATGTCCCATTGTCATCGAACTGCAGTTTCCAGAGAAAGATGGAGGCATCATACCGCTCAGGGTTCCCGTCCCAAGACACCCGGTCCTTAAACCGCCCACTCATGGGTTGGAAGGGATCTATGTGGTAGTAGAATACCTAGAGAGGGGAAATTGCAAAAGGTCTTCTTACTCAGTGCCCAGGCAAGGAGACCAAGATGGTGGGAGCAGAACTGAAACACCAGCAAACCCAACTGTCCTGTCTGCAGCTCCGTCACTTGCTTTCCCCTTCAACGGCCTCTCAGTCTCTGTCCCAGGAATTGTTTCCCAGCTTAACCTTGTGCTTGCTGCTAAGAAAAATACTGGAAGGGAAAGGAGAAATGGACTGGCTTATTATTTCCCTAACCAAGAGTACCCTGGAAAATGACAATAATCTACTTACAAACTGCTCAGGTCCCCCATCTAGAGGACGAAAATTCCAGGTCACTGTTAGAGCATCACCCACAGGGGCAAAGCTGGAGAAAGTGCATTTTAACCGAGCATCTGTCCCATTAACAGCCTCCAGCACCCGAGAGGTATAAATTTCCACAGCTGCTATAGGCCAAAGAGCTGCAATGAAAAAGAAGAAAAAGAAGGGTTAACAGGGGATGTAGTATTGTGAGAACTTCTGCTGACACTTCCAAAATAAATATCTGAGTAGGACTTAAAGTGAAGTGAAACTGAGATGCCCCAGCTCCCAAACTTTTCACCCAGAATCTACGTACCCCTACCCGTATGCAATCTGGACCCTCCCATTCCATGTGACAACTAAACTACCATACAGCAAGCCTTCATAGTGCTCTTGCTTTCTGCACAGCATGATAGCCTCGCCTCATGGTACTGACTTCAAAACTGTTATAACAAACTACAAACATCCGCAAATAGAACTGAAAGCATAAACAAAAAATTAAAACAAATCATAACATTGATTAGACATTACATTATGTATTAAGGTTAAGTATTATGTATTGTATGTAAAGTGGTCTCCTAGCAGGTAAGTTTTCCAGACGGGTCCTTATGTGGATTTCGTACGGTTACTAGTCTATTGCAGAAACCGAATGAATCAACTCCAGACGGCTTATGTTCACCTGCACCCCTGGAACCTTTATACCACGTGGCATTTTTTTTTACCTTGATATTTACATTTAGAATGTGTGTGTTGGGGCACTTTCAAAACCACAGTAGGTCTCTCTCTAACAATCTCCACTTTCCTGATGTTGCTGAGAGTCACAGACAAGACCCACACACAGAAATCCAAATGCCAAGTCCTGCCAGCAGTGGGAGGTTGAGAACAGCCACACACACAAAAATGGCCTGTAACCTGAGATTAGAAAGCCCTCTGTGTGCCTGATTCACTGGCAGCTGAACACACCTAAACCTGTTTGTCCGAGAGCAATTCTCCAAAAACAGTCCACCAACTTTGGTTTCAGTAAAATCCAAAGTAAAACAAACTGTATCTGTGGCTCAGACTCCCAAACAAAAGTCTTGCAACTTCTAAGACAATTAGCTAACTTTATAGAGTGAGCAGTGAAGGAGGAAACGCTGAGAGAAGCCCGCCGGCTCTTACCTGTGAGCTGTATGCCAAGGAGAAGAAGCACCGCACGAGTAGCGCTCTTGCCATACATGAGGGAAACCCAGCCTTGGCCCCAGAGACCAGACCGGGCAGACCGAGGGCTCCAACACCCTGCCAAGGCCACTCCGGGAGGGGCAAGCACCGCGTTTTCCCAAAGAGAGGAGTTTGAGTTGAGTTCCTCACCTGTGCCTGTGACTCAGCCCGCTCTGCCTGTGCACTTTTCTGAAATGAAAGGAGGGGCCTCGGCTCCCAATGCCCTCCTTCCTTTCCTCTCTCCCGCCCTCTACTCTAACGAGCATGAGCACATCTGCACAAAGGTCCCAAACTCCCGCAGCCCTCTCTTTACTTTCATTTAAGCTGACTGGGCTCTGGCCTCTAGATGGCCTCGGAAACAGCCAGAGGAGGTGGTGCCAGTCTGAAATATCCCAGACTGTTAAGGGTTTGGCCCCTACACGCCCTTTTAAAACAGGCTTTAGGCTTGCCTGGGAAGTGAATGTTGAAACTGTCCTGCAGTGATTCCACTTCTCGAAGCACCACCCCAGGGCCACATTGCCCTGGGATTGGATTCGCTACAATTTCAAAACGGGAGTCGGAATTCCTTAAGACTCTCTGTGGACAAAAAGCTGATACCCTTGTTACCACAAGGATTTCTGCACTTCTTCTAGTTTGTAGCTTTCCAGGAGACCTGGCAGAAACAAACCAAATCAAATCTCCACGTTTAACAATCCTTTACCTTTGAAGAATTTAAAGACAAATCAGGACACCATCCCTGCTCGTTCACCCTACCATCCCAGTGCAATCTACACAGTGCTCTCCTGCTGATTATTTCATCTCCTCAACGCCCCATGAAGCATTCCCATTTGACCAGTGAGGACGCTAAGAACCCGAGGAAGGTAAATGATTTGTCCAAGGTTGCACAGCTACCATGTGGCAAAACCAGAACTTTTCTTAAAAATCTAGTGCTCTTTCCACCAAATATCAGCTAATATGAGCAATCAGACACGGGGCTCTCAAGGAAAAGGTTTTCGTAATAACTTTGTTGTGCCTCGGATTTCATCGGCCATTTTTAGAATAGCTAACTGACTGAGAAGTCTAAAGAGCTGAGTAATCTAAACAAGAAAAGATGTCTCCTTGTCTGGAAAGAGGGTGGGTCATCGTTACAGATTAATGAAGCAGCACAGAAACATGGGTAGGAGAGGGATGAAGCTTACACATGCAGTTAAGAAGTAGGCTGGACTGGGAATCTAACCCTGAAAAGAGATAGATTGCCCTTATCCCTGGATTAGCAGTCTAGAAACTCTTCAGTCACTCATAAAATCTCCTAGTTGAAACCAGAGCAAAAAAGGGTGGCAGGAACAAGAGAATGCGGCAGGGTGAGTAGAAAGAAATAAAACATCATAAAGAGGGAAGAAAGGAGAAAATTCTACCAAAAGAGAGGAGAATACAGAAGTGCAGAAAACAGTAACAGGAGAAAGATGTCATGGGCATGGAGCAAAAACAGGTAGACAACCACAAAAATCCATTGTGTTGGAACTCAGAAAACAGAGGCTGCCCCAAATGCAGACCAGCTGTGTGCTAGTGAAAATCTGTTAGCATGGGGAGAGTTTCTGAAAACTGTTTGGCGCCTTTGTCAGCTTCTAGGTCAGAAAGGGACCTAAAATCAGTCTGCTGTGGGAACTTTTCAAATGGTGGTGAGGAAGGATAAGATACAGCCTTTCGGGTATGTAGGTCAGAAGAGTTCAGCTCCAGGACCCTGAAAGAAAAAGAGTTACAGAAACTTGATCTTGGTTGGCTTCCAACTTTGCAGGGAAATGCAGCTACAGAGGAAGGAGAGGTAGAGCCAGGATTTTGAAGTCTACAGCAAACTGCAAAAACTTGTGAGAGGTAGAGTTACCAAACAGCTCAGGGAGGCAGTGAAAAGCAACAGGAGAAGAATCAGGGCAGGAAGAACTGAACAAACTGCCTGTTGTCAGGAGCAGAAATCCCTCCCCCAGGTAGCCAAATGCCCATGAGCTGGCTGCCAGCCTTGCTCTGAGGGGCAGGAGTTATCCAGATCCCACTTCTCTGCTGAGTTCAAGTTCCTGGCTTAGTGCCTGGCAACGCCCAGTTGCTTCCAGTTAGCAGGAGTGGCTTCACAGTCAACCATTTCACCTCACTGGGCAAGGAAGAGGCCAAGGGTAGAAGGTTAAGAAGAGAAAATGCTAAAGAAAAAGGATGTTTGCCCCTCACAGTTTTCTGGACGTCAGTCAGCCAGACTTAGACCAAAACTGAAGGCAGCTACATAAGGCCTAAATTATGTTTGTGTCTAGGCAAATGGAAGGAAAGGAAGAGGAGTTCTGGAAATTAAAAAGAAATGTTTTCAGAGACACCATTTTCTTTCTAAACTTTTCCAGAGAAAGATCCTGATTGTCATTTAAAATTGTGACACACCAACAGTTTTTGAAAGAATCTCATCTGTCCCATCCCTCTACACATTTCCCAGAAAATGATTTCTAGTAAGCATCTAGACCTTAGCCAGCAGGAGACTCACTGGGGGCGCAGGAGACTGAAGGGACAGTGGGCCTGTATCAATATTTGTAAAAGTTATCTTTCTCAACATCTTAGGCGAAAATCTTTTTTTCAGCTAAGATGAAATTAGCATTCTGTGGAGCAAGGAAAACAAATAATTTAGCTCTTAGAGTGATCAAATAAAGCATTCATTTACTCAAAAGTTTCTGTTCATATGTTTTTAGTAGAAAAAATTCAGACATACATAGAATATTTCTACCTGGGAGGGAATCATATAAGATAGGCAGGTGAAGTAAACAAACAATTACCACATTCTTGATTTTCAAATTCAATCCTTAAAGGATGAATAGGAATTCTGGAAAGAGGAGAAACAAAGGCCTTCCTATTGGAACAAATGGGTGGGAATGTGGTACCCACAGGGACTAGCATGCAATTCCTCAAACCTAGAGCACAGGGAGGAGTGGTAGGCCAGGTGAGAGGCTAGGTCCACCTGGACAGTGCCCTCATCCACCATCCTAAGGAGTGTGGACTTGATCCTGACAAATATAACCATTGGGGATGGCTAATATGTGACCCGAGAAGAGCATCTCTAGAAATAGAATTACTTTGGTATTTCCCAGAACCATTAAAAACGAGAAGGAAAGTCTTGGGACACCAACCACCACTTACTCTCCTGGCTTTTGTTTGGTCTCCTGGCTTATGAGCCAGAATGAAAGTGTAGACCTAACGTCTGTTTTCCGAAGACTCGGACTCCCAGCCTTCCCCAATCAACAACTCCAATCTCCAGCATCCTTTTTCAAAACTTCCCCTGGTTTAGAGAGCTTTTCAAAGCTGAGAGAGGGAGGCTAGGCTGTCAAGAGTCATAGATGAGAGGTGGGCTCTTAGCCCAAAAGAATCGTTGTGTTCCCTGTGGCCCTCCTTCTTGCCTCAAGTTTCCTAGAGATATTCCAAAACAGGTCTGGGCCTGAGACTGAGCCTCTATGAGTTTAGAAAAATCATGGGAGGGAACGCTTTCCTGCCCCACCTCATTACAGCTGATATGCACCTCGCCAATAAGCCTCAGGCTCCTCTGGTAATTATAGAGGAGAGGCATCATGCCCTTATTAACCAGCCCAAGGAAGAGACTCTGAAGTGGTTTAACACTTCACTTATTCTCAAGGGAAGCTACGTAGATTGTGCAGGGCTAGAGACATGGGGCATTTTTGAAGATAACTTTGAGGAACCTCTCAGGAGGATAAAGGGGCCTTGATAAATGAATTTATCTACCTCCCTGTTAACCATGCACACCATCTCTAAATAGTGGTGAGAATTTACATTATATTGTGTTTATTGATGAACACAGCATCTCTTGTTATTATTGTTCCAGTTATCTCTTGTTAAAATTGGTTACCATGACCAATTTTTTATTCTTAGGAAGTTAATTAATTTCATGAGAAAAGAAATAGCCACTTTTTTTTTTTTTTAACTACTCTATTCTAGGAGGCATGACGTATAGGAGCTAGAGTCCAACCTGCCTAGATCCAGATCCAAGCTCAGCTGCTTACTAGCCATGTGACCTTGGTCAGTTATTTAACTCTCTGTGCCTCAGTTATCTCATATGTAAAATGGGAACAATAACATTTACCCCATAGTCTGGATGTAAGAATCAAGTGAAATACATTAACTAAAGCTCTGTGCTCAGCACCCACAGAAAACATTCAATAAATTTTAGTTGTGACTATACTTAGTTAAGATGTTTGGGAAAAGGGCTGGCAGTTTCTTATGAAGCTAAATACTCAGCCACCCTGGCAATTCCACTCCAAGATGAATGAAATTATATATACAGAAATATATTTGTAGGAGAATAATCATGGAAGCTTTATTCATAGTAGCCCAAAACTGGAACAGCCCAGGGGTCCATCAACAGAAAAATGGATCCTCTGTAGAATATTCATATCGTGAATCCTACTCAGCAATAAAAAGGAACAAATCACTGATACATATCACCACAATGAACCTCAAAAGTAAGTTCAGCAAATTAGCCAGACACAAAACAGTATAAACTCTTTGATTCCATTTATATGAAGTTCTGGAACTGGCAAAACTACCTTGTCATAAAAAACAGTATAAAAGTAGCGTTTGCCTCTGGGGGAATGGGGACAGGGATTGACTGGAGGGGCATGAGAGAACATTCTAGAGTGATATTAATGTTCTGCATCTTTTCAGGGGTTTGAGTTACGCACTTGCCAAAACTCTTTGAATGGTATACTCTTAAGACTTGTACATTTCATTGAATGTAAGTTTTACTTCAGTAATTTTTTAAAAAGAATTGTAAACAAATTCTAAACTCTCATTAGTGCTGAAGTATTTACAGGGAAGCATCCTGATGTCTGCAATTTAATTTAAAAATGCATAAAAAAGTAAGACTCATTGATAAATGGATGAATGGAAGGAAGGATGGGTGGGTGGGTGGGTGGGTGGATGGATGGATGGATGGATATGTGATCCAGCATGGTAAAATGTCAATTGAAGAACCTAGGTGGGATACACAGGTATTTACTGTATAATTCTTTAAATTTTTCTGCGTGTTTGAAATTTTTCATAATAAAATGTTGAGGGGAAATTTGCTTCCACATTCACCAAGTTTCTTCAGCATTAAGTAAATGACAACACAAATTCAGTAATAAAGTGTTGGAGAATCATTACATTTTATCATTCTAATTTAGACATACCTTAGAATACTGGTAGATTTTAACAAATAAAAATTACCCTTAATGATTTTAAATTACTATTTTTCAAGTGCCTACTATGTACCCGGCACTGTGGTAGGCATATTGCATATATTAGTTCTGATCTCCATAACTGTAAGACGATACATAGATATCTCCATTTTATAGATGAGGAATTGAGACTCAGAGAGATTGATTCATTCTAATACCTATTGAGCCCTGTTGCTAGAAATTGTGCTAGATGCCAAACAAGAAATTAGTGTGTACCCTCAAGTTGCTAACTATATCTTGGGAAACACAGTCAAATAAGTAGACAATTGCAATGCAATGTGACAAATGAGTTGTGATCAGAGAAACACAGAGGCCAGGGTCCTTCAGCCAGCCTTGGAGGCCTTGGGAAGGCTTCCCAAAACAGGAACCATCCAGTGTAGCTGGCTAGCAGCTACAGGCTCTAGGGTCAGAGAAACATAGGTGTGAATCAAAGGTCTACATCATTTATTCATTCATTCATTTAAGAAAAATGTTTTGGGTACCTATGACACGCCAGGCATTTTCCTGGGCACACAAGGAATAAAGTAGTGAACAAAGGGGAAAGGGGTGGTCAGGGAAGACCTCTCTGATAAGATGAAACTTAAGAAACATCTGAATGAAGTGAGGTAGTGAACCATGTGGATCGGGAAGAAGGACATTCCAGCAGAGGAAATAGTAAGCACAGGACCTAAGGCAGAAGCACGTGTGGAGTATTTGAAGAAAAACAAGGAGACCATTGTGGCTGGAGCAGAGTGAAGGGGCAGTGGTGAGGGGCTAAGGATGGAGGGGTACAGGGCAGATCAGACCACCAGGGATTCAGGGCAGCCATTAAAGGGTTATGAAAGACAATCTCTGGAAAGGGAGAAAATATTTCATATTTGCAAATCAATTTCTGCTAAAGGATTAATGTTTGGAATGCACAAAGAATTCCTGCAACTCAATAACAACAACAGCAACCAACAACCCCATTAAAAAATGAGCAAAGGACTGGAATAGACATTTCTTCAAAAAGATAAAATGGCCAGTAGGCACAGGAGAAGATACTGAACATCACTAGACATCAGGAAAATGTAAATCAAAACCACAGTCCATTAGAATGCTATTACCACATCCACTAGGATGACTATTACCAAAAAGAAGACAGAAAATAGAGTAAGTGTTGGCAAGAATGTGGAGAAATTGGAATCTTTGTGTATTGCTGGTGGGAATATAAAAGAGTTCAGTCACTGTGAAAAATAGTATTACAGTTCCTAAAAAATTAAACATAGAATTACCATATGACCCAGAATTCCACTTCTGGCATGTAGCCAAAAGAATTAAAAGTCAGTACTCAAACAGATAGTTGGACACTGATGTTCAAAGCAGCATTGATCACAGTAGCCAAAGGATGAAAATAACTCACGTGACCATCAAAGTAAGAATGGATAAGCAAAATGTGACATATACATACAATGCAATATTTTCAGCCTTAGAATGAATAAAATTTTGACACATATTTCCACATGGATGAATTCTGAAGGTTATTATGCTAAATGAAATAAGCCAGTCACAAAAGGACAGATATTGAATGATTCTACTTATATGGGAGCATCAAGAATAGTCAAACCCATAGAGACAGAAAGTAGAATGGTGGTCGCCAGGGTCTAGAGGAAGAGGGAAATGGGGAATTATTGTTTGATGGGTACATAGTTTCCACTTGGGGAGATGTAAAAGCTCTGGAGATGGACGGTAATGATGGTTGCACAAGAATGCGAACGGACTTAATGCCACTGAACTGTACACTTAAAAGTGGTTAAAATGGTAAATTTTTTGTTATGTATTTTTACTACAATACACAAAAAAAGAGAAAGCTTATGAAATGAAAAGTAAAATGTTCTGACTCGTGTTTAAAATGATCACTCTGACTGCTGTGTGGGTATCTGGATCTCAGTCTCTTCAACCATTCAATGAGGATAATGAGGCCTTCCTCATGGGGCGGTTGTAATGATTGAATAAGAGTGCAAATA